AGAACTAGTAATTTACTAAAGTAGTTATAAAAGTTAGGTAGAAAAATAATATATATATATATATATATATATATACGAAAGAATATAAGAAAGAAAGGGGTATGTAATATATAGATATAAGGGTATAAGAAAGAATTCGTAAGAAAGAGGATCGTTAAGTAGAGAAGTCTGGCAGTGGATATTGGAAACACGTATAATTTGCTGCAGAAATAGGACATGGTCGATGTGTTATATATAAATGTCAACTTAAATTTAATTTAAAAAATTCAGAATTTTTATTGTCATCGCATTCAAATTCTTTCAACGTTTTAAACTTTCAAAAATTATGAAGATATTCTCAATTTTTTTTTTTTACTATTTCATTATTCAAACATTATAATTAAAATAATAATTAATTAATTTATTATATATCTGAAAGTGTATTTGAATTAAAAAATTTAATTTTTATCCAAATAGATTCCATGGATGACATAGGATTAAAAGAATTGCGAATATCTATACATGTTACACATCAAAGTGTTATAATTGAATGTTATAATTTCTACAAAAAATCCTAAACATTTTCAATCAAAAGAATTTCCACGAAATTCTATTAAACTTTTTATAAGCATTAATCATTTTTATCATTGATAATATACGCGGTATCTCTTAACTAAAAATTTTTCTATTTTTCTTAATTTCTCTATGTAAAAACATCAAAGAATAATAATAAAATAATTTCACATGGAACGTTATTTTTCCTATTGATTATTGTAAGGCACTTCATCACTTATTCATGTCTCGGGAAACATTAACGAGATTAGTCCACTTTGTTCATTTATTAATAAAACTCATCCTCTTTGAATTTCATAAATCAACGTTGATTGTTTTTTGACATCTACATTCTCTGTTTTGAATGTTGAATTTATATTTTCGACAATTTTCCTGATATTTATCGTTCCGTTTAAATTTGTGCAATAAAAATTTAAAAATTGATATAAAAAATTATTTTTAATAATTGTAATTTTAAATTACATTTTCCTTTCCAAAATGTTTTCAATAATTTCTAAATTATTTTCTCCTTTTTTTAAAATCCATGCTAAAATATTACGTTATATTATTAATATTTTCTATATTATTCGCGTCATTTGAAACATCTTGATATTCATATTACCTTTCATCACTAATATTTCCAACGATTTTTACGGCACTTTTTCTCATATTAAATACTTTTTCCATATTTCATGTTAAATTCATATAAATTAAAAAATTATTAAAAAATCATTTAAACGAATACGTTGTTTGAAATATTGTAATATTCATAAATGTTCTAAATGTAAATGATTATGCATTTAGGCTTTCAGCAATTATTTTCGCGATATTTTTTTAACATTTATTAATATTTAATAAATTAAATTTAATATTCCAGGAAAAAGAAGATTTCACATTTATTGATCTAATAACTTTGAGCAATGAAATCTTGGATTCAATTCGTCTCTTGTCTTTGTATAATTACAAAAGTATTTTAGTCTGTATCATGGATAATAAAGGAGTCCAAGTATTTGTTATCCGCACATGCATCCCTTTAATTTCAAAAGTGTGTCAAGGTAATGTACGTTATATGCATATCTACTCGCGCAAATGCTCGC